CCCACTGTATCATGTTTGGTTGTCTTGCAGTGAATGTTTCTCGCTGTAACATTGTGGGACTTTCAAGCTTCCTTGTCATTAGTTCAATTAGACTTGTTTTGGCGGCTGTGCTTTAATTTTTCATCCTTGCCTTCCGAGTTTTGTTTGCTTTTTGTTTTTGTAAGTGTTTTACGGCGCTAGCAACTGCATACGGTCATATGAGCGCGGATCACATTAAACTTTTTTCAGTTGGTAGGACATTTTGAATTTTGCCTGTGTGGCGGCCGAAGCATACTCTTATCGATTTTAGACCACCAAGGTATCTTTAACGTGCGCAACTTGCACACGGGCCCTCCGAGATTTTTCGCCCTGGTCCGAGAAGGCTAGGTGTAGATCTTTCTTACCAGAAGATCAGGGGTGTGGCTGAAAGACAGCAGTAAGAAGAAGCCAATGAGTAGCAGTAGAAAGGCTGTAGAAAGAATCAGGAGCCCAGAGAGGGGGGCAAAGGAGATGAGGAAGGTGGGGCAGAAAGAGGAGACGAAAGCAGACGACAGAACATTGCTAGAGAGCAGGAAAGGAGGTGAAAGGAGACAAATTTAGAGAAGAAAATTGTTCGGTCACTACCCGGATTCGAACCCGGGACCTTTGAATGAGAGGCCAACACCTTAACCTCGAGGCCACGAGAGCCCCCTTTCAGAGTTTGACGTTCATGCACCCATATATTCATATAATCGGTCACAGTGGTGGTATCTTGAAATATTTGTAAACTTGAGTTAATCTCACCTTATTGCAACATGAGCAGTGGCCTCCAATTACACGTACTTGGCCATTTCTCCAAAGTCATTAAGCCCCTAATTTCAATAACACGCTTACAAGTTTATGACGGTTCCCGATTTCATACAAGTACAAGGCCTGAACCAACGCGCACTTAAGGGTGACCACGTAGAGAAAACCGTTCTCTCACGCTTCCGTAAGCGCACTGCCAGAGGCAGTGAAATTTAAAGAATCCCTTAATGAAAACCGTTGCGTCCCACATAGATAAAGCTGTCATTGAGGACACACCAGTGAGGAGCGGCACTGATGTTTCTCGCGGAATCCAAACTACATTCTTCCCAATGCCGCCCAAAGCTGTCTGCGGCCTTGTTTTCACGTTTCGGTTGTACCAAAGCAGTGCTTCTACTTACTCCTCCTGTTTGATGTCGCAAGTGATTCAGACTTGGAAACAGATGCGCTCAAATCCCCAGTGTACGTTAGAACTCCCAGTTGGTACAAAGTAGCAAAGTCCACATTGTAACATGTAATTTTACTAGGAGGATACGAATGCAATGTTATTGAAAGCCGTACACTTAACACTAAATTACATATGATGATAGTGATGATGATGGTGACGATTATAGAACCGTACGCTGCCCCGCCCTCTCTGTCTGTCTGTCTGTCTGTCTGTCTGTCTGTCTGTCTGTCTGTCTGTCTGTCTGTCTGTCTGTCTGTCTGTCTGTCTGTCTGTCTGTCTGTCTGTCTGTCTCTCTCTGTCTCTCTCTGTCTCTCTCTCTCTCTCTCTCTCTCTCTCTCTCTCTCTCTCTCTCTCTCTCTCTCTTTCTCTCTCTCCCTCCCGCACTCTCTGTCTCATAATTTGTCCAGCGTGATCTAGAAATATGAGGTAAAATGTCTCTCACGCCTTTAGCATTATTAGTGGGTCTACCAGCAAGCTCCCATGTCACATCCTATTTCAAGAATGACACTTCAGTAAAATTTTGGACAGTGCCTCCCGTGTGTATTATGCTGTTATGAAGACTGCATATATACACTTAATGATAAATGGCCTCGTGCAACAGCGTTCTCTATATGGGGTCAAGCAGGCACGTTCCAAAGCTTAAGCGGCTGTTCAAAGTACGGCCTCAAGTGCCTTTCTCTATCTCTGTCTTTTTTTTTGGTCCCAGCCACCATCCCCCCCCCCTCCAATCGTTGAGTGTATCTTTTAAAAAAATCAATAATCTCCCCCCCATTCCGGAGTCCTGTACTTCGCAGCGCTCAGAACGCGTGCAGGTTCACTGACCGGTCACAATGGTGAGCCCCACAAGACGCTAGGCTTGTATAACATTCTTTTTTTTTTTGCCCCCACAAGTGACAGCATTTTCATAGGGACACCACGTTTGTAATGCAGAACCTGCATGTTACAAATGGTGCGTTATCAGACTATTATTACTGACAAACTTCTGGGTAGTAACGAAAGCAGATCTTGATTTTCCGGTCGAGCCTCGGTGTCACATACACTTCCGCCTGCCGCCATAGCCGCCTGTTCGCGTGAAACGTACTCTCAGACTGAGAAAACCCGAATTAATATATCTCAATCATTATTATCATCATCCGGTGCCTTGCCGACTGGCGTGGGCGATCATAGACCTCCACTTCACTCTGTCTTGTGTTGCAGCAATGGTGTCTGTTGTTCTTGCTGCTCATACTCCAAGCCATGTTGTCATCTTGTCCAGTATCTTTTCCCTCTTTCTGAGAAGTGTCTGCCTCTGCCTCTCTTTCCATCAAACTTGCCTTTTGTTACAATATTCTCCAATGCTTCTTTCCGCATTGTGTGTCAGAAGAAATGCGCCTGTCGTTTTCTTATATTATATTCGTCATAAGCTGTCTTCTGCAATTTGCTTCAACCACGACTTCTTCATTTGTTTTTCTAGCTGCCTATGGGATATGTAGTATGCGTCTTATGAACCACAATTGTTCTTTCCAGCTATATATTGATTGTTGTCCATGCTTCGCACCCGTATAATAGGATTGGCTCGATGTAACTTTCCAGTACTCTTTTTCTCGTTTCCAGTGACAGAATGATGTTTGTGAGTATCTGAATATCACTAACATACACACACGCACACACACACACACATACACACACACAGATAGATAAATAAATAGATAGATGGATGGATGGATGGTAGATAGATTCGGTAGTAAAGATAGAAGTAAGAAACGAATATTTGTCCTTCTTTAGATGGTGGAAGGCAAGGTTCTTCATCTAAAAACTCTGGAATATGTGCTGAAACTTGTTCTATTTCTCCACTACATGTAGGCCTACCATTCTAACTTTCTGTAATTCTGTGGTAAGGTCAGGCTTGAGTGCAGGTCGTTTTAACTGGAAGATGACATACAACTAATGTGGTTCAACACGAAGGCGAAGCAGTACACAGTGCAAGAAGAACCACAATGTCAAGGGCAGGGAAGTTTTTGTCCCTACCAAACTGAAGACAATCACACAACTTACAAAAGTAAAACAGTCATATCATGTGACTATTCGAGTAGACTATATGGATATTTCTTAGACAAAAAGAAACTACCAGTGAACTCGTGTTGAATGTTCGTAGGGATTTAGAAACTGACTAAATCTTTTACATAATCGTGGAGACACCAAAGCTGTTCATTTGGTTGTTGTTGTTGTTGTTGTTGTTGTTGTGTTTTACATCACCAAAATAAGTGAGTTTGGCATCTCGAGTTGGTACTGCCTTTACTTTTACTTTTTCATCATCTGTTGCCGTGAGATGCAGTTTTCTATGGTAGGCCAACTCCGCAGCTCTTTCAGTTGTGATGTTAGGTTTTCTTAGGGTTTCCTTGACACCCTCGATCCACTTTTTGCATGGTCTTCCTCTTCCTTTATAGCCCAAGTGCTTGGTGTTGTAGGCTCTCAATAGGCTGGCTGGTCAGGTGACATGCGTGACAGGTGGCCAAACCATTTTATCCTCTGTCTTTCTATGTAACACAGGCAGGACTCAGTGCCGATAGCTGCTCTTACTTCTTCATTTCTCTGCCTGTCTCGTCTTGTGATGTTAAGGGTTTTGCGGAGACATTTCATTTCGCATACGGTGATTTGATAAACCTCTTTAACAATCAAGTCGAATGTAATTCCATACAAATATGAATGGGTTGAATTTTATGAATAAATTTGCCCCCCTAGGAAATTGTGGTCGTGCGGCCGCGTTTTTCGTCGAGTTCTGCAATAAACCCGCATTATTTTTGCAATTTTCGCAATTTCTTGCAATTTTAGGCAAAAATGCATCAACGCTTTAATTTTAACAGAATTTTTAATACGGAATGGTGCGAGTGTAGCCTACTGGGTGTATTCTAAAAGCTATAGATCTAACCGGAACTTCATGCCGGAAACATTACAACACAAACGAGACCAAAGATACTACACCTAAAGATCTAATGTGTGTAAGCGTGCGCGTGTGCTAGAAAGTAGGTGTGTGTGTGTGGTGTGCATGTGTGTGCGCGTGTAAGGTGTACGTGTGTGTGTGTGTGTGTGTGTGTATGTGTATGTGTGTATGTGTGTGTGTGCGCGCGTGTGTGAATATTGTTCGTAATCGTACATGATGCATGTGTCTACATACGCATACACGGCGGTAATCGGGCACCTAGTCTCAGTATCTACGTACACGGTAACCGGAATGAAAATAAATCAATTTGTCCTGTGCTGTCACTTGTAAAAAAAAAGGAAAGTCATACATGTACAAGCGTCTTGTCGGGCCCGCCATCGTGACCGGTCAGTTCTATTTCAAAAATGCAATTTTCCGTGGGGCCAGATAAATAGTAGAAATTGTCGTATAATATGACAATTTTAGTACTAAGAGTGACTTTGCTTTGCTCATGAAGTAAAGTGAAACAGGGTACAGATGATCGAAACATACCATCCTTAACTGTTTTTGTTACACTAATGTGCTATTCCCAGATCGAGATAGGTCACAAGCTGACCTAAATTTTGGTACAGTTTGAAGGGTTTGTTTGTATGAATGAATGGGGTGTAGAAACCTTACGCCAATGTAGTCTCTGACAGCAAATGTTCCCACACAATCGTTGTTACAATGTAAGATAACGTGGGGCAAAGAAACATCTTCAAAATACATTATAAGCGTAAACGCAAAGCCTTAAAAATAAAGATAGATAATTCCCTAAAGAATAATTTTTCATGAACTCATTTTTTGTAAACAAAAGAATGATTTTGAAAGTTCAACGGTTTTGTTTTTTTTAATCTTTAGTTTTAATATATTGATGTTCTGTTTATACATAGTTCGAGCAAATGCGTCTTACGGAACCTTTCTCCAGACACACATACATTATGATGAAAGTAAAGTGTTCTATCCATCCACTGTCAGGTCTTTCTGCCTGCCACAGCTTCACCAGAGCCCCATCAGCCAGCAACATGTTAAGGTTACCAAGGTCGGCCTTCACGGCTAGCGTAACGCCCACGTGACATGACGTCACACCGTACCTCACCCGAACCCAGAAAACCTCTACTCTGTTCTGTTTCCATCTCCCAGGACGAGGACCAAGGGTTGGACTTTGGGAGACAAAAAAAAAGGTTAGTAAAATTATTTTTTTTCTAGAATTTTGTCCCATGCCCGTTCTACGCATTATTCGACGCCATCGTTGAAATTTGCTGACTTAGTAGTGAAATACAAAACTGACAAAATGAGTTAGTGCATGTTGTTAAAACTAAAACAAAGCAAAAGCAGGGACAACATTTTATATACATAAAATTTGAAAGTACATGAATTCGAACTAACTAAGGTTACCTAACACGGTTAGTTTGAACAGTTGTATTTTTAAAAATTCTAACATCCTCTGCTCCAAATGAGTCACGAGGCGGGCATTTTCCCACATTCCCACTCCCTAGTGGAGCAACCAAATTTAGTTTCTTCGTCACCATAGTCAAAAATGTCCTACATGTGTGCGCTCAGTCTCATCTACCGGTGACATTAGTTAGTAGGAGGACAGACCAAAGAGAAAAGAACACATATTATCTAAGGCCAGTCAAGAAGAAGAAGAAGAAGAAGAAGAAGAAGAAGAAGAAGAAGAAGAAGAAGAAGGAGAAGAAGAAGAAAAAGAAGAAGAGGAGGAGGATGAGAAGAAAACATAAGATAACTTCTAAAGGATGTAGGTGTAAAACGACACTTATAAATAATATTGTTTCAAAGTATAGGAAAATCCTGAAATCAATGATTAATCAGGGAAAAAAAATATTTTACTGTTTCTAAGTAAAAAGTAAACCTCATTCTTTTCCCTAAGTACCTCCACCCGACCTTCCCGAAAAATCTGTTGTCCTGATAACTAAAAAAAATGTGTATGTATTGTTGTCCTACTAGCTGATAAACAATTATTAAATTTTCATTAACTACCAAGACGGGTCAAGGTTCAGTTCCCCTTTGAATCATGACCCATCATGACATCAAATACCAAAACAAATTGAGTAATAAAAACTATCCCATGCCCAGAAAAAAACAAAAAAACAACGACAACATTCCCCAAGTTTACAAATCAATCTTGCCAATCTCCTTCAACTCTGTCTTAACGCCACGACACCCCCCCCCCCCCTAATCCGTTTACACACACACACACACACACACACACACACACACACACACACACACACACACACACACACACACACACACACACACACACACACACACACACACATCATGTACTTAAAATGTCAGTGGCAAATAAACATCTGTCTTTGTTCCCATTGTTCCAATAAGCCACAAAAGCTAACAGGAAAGTTATATTTGACTGGCCTTGGATAAAGAGAATAACAAAAATAAAGGGTTAGTGTTAGCTTAGCGATATAATCAGAAACCACATTCTACTGAGACTGGCGCACTACCTAGCTCGGCATTCCAGTGTTAGGGCGTCTTATCTAGTGGGTAGTTATAACAACAAAAACAGTAATAGTAATAATAATAATAACAACAATAATGATATTAATAGTAAATAATAATAGTAACAACAATAACTTAATAATATTAGTTAAATCATAAAAATAACAATTTAAACGTATTGGAATTATGTAGTAATAATAATAATAAATAATACAGTGAGTAGTGATTTTGTTATAAATATTAACGCACTTCTAAAGACCGTTAATCTAGCTTGTTAAAAAAATTATATACATTAATTAGGCCTACTTTGTACATGTAAACTCAAATACACACACAACATAGCAGAGAAAACGAAGAAAGGTAAGAGTGGAAACAGAACCAAAGAAATAGATGGTAAAAGGTGTGGGGGTGTCGAGGGGGAGAGAGAAAGTAGGAAAGAGACACGAGAAAAGGGTGGTGGTGGGGAGGGAGAGATGGGGGAGAGAGAGAAAGAGAGAGAGAGAGAGAGAGAGAGAGAGAGAGAGAGAGAGAGAGAGAAAGACACAGAGAGGGGGGGGAGAAATAAGAAAAGAGACAGGAGGAGAGACAAAGAGAGAGAGGGTTAAGAGAGGGAGAGAAAGACAGAGAGAGTGGGAGGGAAGGAAAGAGAGAGAGAGAGAGCGAGAGAAAGAAAGAAAGAGAGAGAGGGAGAAAGGGAGAGGAGTGAAAGTGACAGAGCGAAGGAGAGGGGTAGAGAGAGAAAGAAAGAAAGAGACAGGGGAGAGAGGGAAAGAGAGAAAGAGAAAGATTGAAAGGGGGAAGTGAGAGGGGGAGAGAGAGATAGGTTGATAGAGAGGGGGGAAGTGAGAGGGAGAGAGAGAAAGAACACAATACCAAGTTCACCAAGTTCTTGTAAACACGGACATGTAAGAATTCTAAAACGTGTCCTTTGGCTCTCAGATGCATCTTCTGTCATCCGGGGGACTTCTTTCAGCCTCTTCTCTGCCTGCTAGGCCTGCCAAGGCAAATATCAAGAAAATCAACACACTCCTCTTCTTCCTCCTCCTCCAACTTAAACCTGGCCACATGCACCTCCCCGTTATAGAGCAGCCAGCGAACCTCCTCTCTTCCCTCCCGCTCCACCCGTAAAGTCACAACCTCCCCTGACACGCCACCCCCCGCCCCCGGCTGACCCATGAGGAGCGGACCCACCATCTGCTCCCCGTCCATCACCTGACCCACCACCTGCTGCCCCCTCACCTGCCGCTCCACCTCCTCCCCGACCAGCACTAGCCCCACCAGCTGTTGTCCGTTAGTCACCTGTCCCACTATCTGAGGCCCCGTCACTGGTTGCTCTATCACCACCTGGCCCACTGCCTGCTCTCCTACAACCCGTTGACCCATCGCCTCTGTCTCTGCCCCCTGGTGCCCTAGCACAACCCGCCCAACTATCGGCTGTGCCACCTCCTCACCCTCACCCACACGAACAACTTCATCCACACCCACAACCTCTCGATCGCACACTACCTCACCCTCACCCACTACCTCTCCCTCATCCACTACCACACCCACTACCTCTCCCTCACCCTCTCCCTCACCCTCTACATCACCCTCTACATCACCCACTTCCTCACCCTCTACTTCACCCTCACCCACCACAATATCAAGAAAATCAACACACTCCTCTTCTTCTGCCTGCTCTCCTACAACCCGTTGACCCATCACCTCTGTCTCTGCTCCCTGGTGTCCAAGCACAACCCGCCCAACTATCGGCTGTGCCACTTCCTCACCCTCACCCAACACCTCTCCCTCACCGACCTCTCCCTCACCCACCTCTTCCCCCACACCCACTTTCTCACCCACTACCACTCCCATCACCTCCTCCCCCAACCATACCTCACTATCTCTACTCCTCTTCCTACTCCCCTCCTCCCCATCTACAACCCTCTTCCTCTTCTCCCCCCTCCCCTCAGATACAAACCAAAACTCTCCACTCTCTACCTCAGTCTCCTCCGCTCTCACCAGGAAAGTTCTGGGCTGTTCCTCCGCCATTCCGTCAGCTTCTTCTCGTCAGGGATGTCTCGGGTGATCTGTGGAAGAGAAGAAAAGAACAGGGAAAACATTGGATTAGCCACATGTTTGGAAGATAGGTAAGACTATCATACATGTATTATTTAATTTATTATCTCCATTGTATACCCATAGTACCGGCTCAAGGAAAGTGATTTAGTTTTGAAGGGCCTATTTTGATAGATATTTAATTTCAACGATGCTTTCAGTGAAACAAGTTTATTTAAGAAGCACAAATTCCGATTTAACGTCCATTTTCAACTGTACTCGCAGTGTGAAAAGGGTGCAGGCCCATAGAAATGTCTCAGTAGAAACAAATTCAAGATGCTTCAATTCGATCCAGAGTCGCCTGCGTAGTACATGTAGCGGCTCACAAACTTGTGAGTTCTTGTATTTTAAAAAAAGATGCATAAATGCCCAGGTCCACATTAGAATCTATTTGTCTACATTTTGTTAAAAGACATGTGGTAAAACTATAGCACTCCACTCGCCCCCTCCCTCCCTCCCTCCCTCCCTCTCTCTCTCTCCCTCTCTCTCTCTCTCTCTCTCTCTCTCTCTCTCTCTCTCTCTCTCTCTCTCTGTGCATTAGAGTACTTTACCTACTCTATCTACAAGTGAACAAGTAAGTAATACATGTAATAATAATAATAGAAGAAGGGATATATATCGTTGAAGTGAACAAGAGAAGGAATTACAATGAGAAGATTAGAGATGTAACAAGAGAGTAACAAATAAACATTAAAAAAAAGAAGAAGGGGAGAAAAGGACGATAGATGTTCGGAAGGATAGAAGAAGCTAATCACATAATAGCAACCGCCAATCATCTACATAGAGTTTCAGAGGGTAAGAGAAAGAATGGGAGGTGGACACGGAGTGAGAGAGAGAGAGAGAGAGAGAGACACAGAGAGAGAGAGAGAGAGAGAGAGAGAGAGAGAGAGACACAAGCAACAGACAGAGAGGTGGGGGGGGGGGAGACTGACAGAGAGAGATGTGGAAGAGATTATGAATGTGAAACTGGAGAGAAGACAGTGGTGTAACAAATGTTAAAAATTAAGAGTACATTGGGGAGAAAAGAGAGACAGAGTGGAATGGAGTGGCACGAGGGTTCTAGATAGAGAGATACATTTGAAATAAACAGAGAAAGGGAGAGGAGCCACCCAGAGGAAGGGACAGAGAGAGAAGAGAGGGGGGGGGAGGGAGAAGGGAGAGAGAGAGAGAGGCAGACAGACAAAGAGAGTGAGTGAGAGAGAAAGAGAGAGAGAGAGAGAGAGACTCCTTCCACATAGAGGTGTAAGAAATACACAAGTTATTCGTGTAATAAAATACGACACACGAATATCGTACACAGCTTTGGTGAAGGATAGAAATGGGG